GAATATCTTTAGGATGAACTGGAATGCAGAATTAGGGCAAGGCCAAGATGGCCCTCTTCAGTAGTGTAGTTTACTAATGCTTTAAAGGAGGAGTGGAGAACAATACCACCAACTTTCTACCAGAAATTAGTAGACAGTCTTCAACGACACATTGAAGCAGTCATTAAGGCCAAAGGCATGCTAACATGCTATTAATTTTTTTTGGAATAAAAACATATTTTATTCATAACTACCCGTGTCCCATGACTTTTGAATAGGATAGTGTATATGGTAACTGAAATGTCACTGTATTTTACAAAATACTGGTACACTAGTTCTAATACTAATAAAAGTAAGAGATTTCCACTTTGTAAAGGCCAGTTTTATGCTATTGTGCACTTTTGTGGTGGGATTATTAGTTATATGGCTCAAAGGTTAATAAAACAGAAAAAGTAATACATATATAAATAGATACATACTGTTTCAAGACTTAAGCTATTTAGAATATATATTTGTAGTTTTATGTTACAGTTTGCAGTAATTCTAGAAGGAAAAAAAGGTATAGAGTTAAGGTAAAGAAAACAATGGACAAAATATTAAGTTTTTCTGAAAAAACATTTGATGTTTATTTAGGGGGTTATAGAGATTGTGCAAATGAAATCTGACAATTTTCAGATGAAGAAAAGTATTTTTAATCTTAAAATCAAAATTACTTTGCATGTTGGTTAGTCAACATTCCAAAAGAAAAATTTCCTGAGCAAATCTTTAATTAAAAATTTTAATACTTACTTAAAAATCCTAATACTTTGATACAAACAGTATTATGTAAATGAATGCATATTCTTCTTTACATGTAATAATTAACTTACATTTATTTCACTCACAAAATATTTTACCATGTTTTTTATGAAAAATGCAACACCACACTTCAGCAGGTTACACACAATTTAGGTGAAAAGTTATTTTGCATCTTCAATTTTCTAGCAAAACAGTACTTTATCTAGGAATAATCATTGAAGTAGCAACATAAAGAATGATCAAACATTATAAAAATGGAAGCAACAATGTACACGTTTAAATCTTTGACTATAGAGCTATGTGTATTGCACCTACTATATAACCAAAAAGTAATCATTGGAATAGTCATACTATAACTTTTGAAAATGTATGCATATCTTCCTGACATTTTGCAGATTATCAGTAAATATTACATGGCTTTTGGTAAATCTTAAGAGTGGAAAGCTACAGTATGTGTGTGTGTCAATTTCAGTGCTGTTCATCGTGAACCTGTTAGAAGAATTGGCAGTGGAAGAATATTAGCACGTGATAGGGACCAATGGGACAAGGACAAGGATCAACAAGAACGAGACTATGGATACAACAGATGTAATGGCAATCGACGTGACAGGTTGGATCGAGATGATCGAGAAAAAGAAGGTCGAATTCCTGGTCGATTCAGTGACCATGGAGAAAGAAGATTTGGAAGAGGTAAAACACTTGCAGAATGAAAGTAACAGAATAGAGTTTATTCATTGAGATTCTATTGTAGGGACAAATCCATAATTTCCACATTCTAGCTCAGTCTGTCCATCCGAGATAAAACATGATTATAGTTATAAAAACCAAAAATAACTTAAAGGCAGAACTTACTTGGATAATCTCTGACTTCAGTTTATGTATAAACAAGCTCTCTTTATACAGAAGCTCTGTTTATCATTGTTAAGATTTTAAAGTAAATCAAGTTTATGAGCATCACACTCACCTAGGTCATGTTACAGTACACTTCAACTATTCAAAGACCTTAAATTTGAATGTTCCTTTACACAAGTTAATAATTTTCTTGTATTAAAACCTATGTAATCATGCTGACAGCACCAATGACAGATAAATTTATAATCATTTTATGATTTTAATCAAGGAATATGATCTTTCAATCTAAAAAAATACTGTAATTGGCAGCGAGGTTTAAACATATCTCGGCTGTATTTGAAGGTGTACCCTGCAAACTATATTTCATAAGTGATTTTTTTTTATTCTGAGATTAACCAACATATGACAAACTTATAACTAATGGGTATTTAGGAACTTTGTTTGTAAGTGGTTTAATATAATTTTACTTGTACAAATAATTAAATTTTCTTTCAATTTAAGTTGGCATAAAGATTGTGAAGTTACAGTACAGACTAGTGAACATTGTTTTATGATATACTTCACATTGAAGTTGCTAACACTGTTATGAATATCCTTAGCCAAAATTAAGCGATTATGATCCTGTTATGTTCAACAATAAATTTATTTTTATGTTCAGTGTTCAAGTCATCCAAAAATTGACATGATCAGAATTTCTAAAAATAATTCAAGTATCATCTACATTCATACAGTTGTACAGTGTTTTTAAAAACTGAAGAATTGTCCAGTTATTGCTTTTCAAAACAGAGGAAAAAAATTGGCTAACTAGGGAACCAATATAGAACCCATAAACACTATCAGTCTGATGATACAAATCACCATGAACTCTCTCAACATAGGCTCAGTTGAATTGACCAACCACATGACCACTTTGTTCTTGTTATAGTATCAATGCTACTAACTTTTATTATAGTATGTGTATTTTCACAAAATTTGGCAGTCTTTTATATACAAAAAATCAGATTTTTTAGTGAAGTATTTTTACTAAAGATTTGTCTGTGAATATATCTTCTTTTTTCACTAGTCTGAGTGCAAAGTGATTTTCATGTTAAGATCAAAAATACTTTTCTTCACCCCAAAAATCTCAAATTTCATTTGTGTAATCTCTAAAACCTCCTAAATACATTTCCAATATTTGTTTTCAGTAAAACTTTATATTTTCATTCTCGAACTACATTACCCACGACCTATTCCGAGCTGATCACGTGCATGCCTCCCGAAAATTTATTATTATTACTTATTTTACTCACCTAGAGATTCCTCTTTTTACATTTTAGTTACTTTTATAATAATAAATGAATACACATGAAAAACAAGAAATAAAGTACTTACCTGGGCTTTCATTATTTTTGCTGTCGACTGTTAATGACACTTAACTATACGTTTTATACTAATGGTACTACTACACTAAATGATTTTTCATTTAATTAAATAATGCAACAAAGAACACAGAATAAGAATATACAAAAAGCAACAAGAGCTATTAAAAATTCAGCTAAGCTTGTCGATGCATTTCCGTGGGAATAAAGTTTGAACTGGAAGCGAAATAGACAATTCTTTGTACAGAAAACAATGTAATATAATATATCCTTTGATAGACTAAAACCTTGGCTTTTTATTTGTTATAGCTAATATAATATTAAACATTAGAGAAAATTGTTGGCAATTTTTGAAAAAGATTGTGACAGGTGGGTGTGGTAAGAGGGGTCTGATTTTCTAATTGACACTGTAACCAAACGAGATTGAAGGCTTTGGAAATTATGCTTTGCCTGAGCGATGACAACATTGTAATAAGTAATTTACATTAAATTTCATACTTCTCGGAGGGGTGGTAAATAAATCAGAGAAGAGGGAATACCTAGAGAGCAAATATCACAATTTTCACATTAGAAGAAATTTAGAATTTTTTTAAAATATTGTCTTATAAAATTAAGAACTTAAAATTTATGTACTATTAAAATATGGATTATTAGCTAAAAGTTTTTGCTATACTAATTGGTATAACAGGAACAAAAAGTAGTTTAATTAACTTTTAAATGTAACTCACTAAAAACCTTTATACATGCAGTAAAAGATGCCTGTGTAGAGAGAGTTAATGCTATGTCTAAAATGTTGGTGCATTGTATCAACCTTTATTTCAGTGAAGCTGTACATAATAATGATTGTTCTTAATACTGAATTTATTTAATGTACCTTCATGAAATTTGGAAGCTTTTTGTAAATATTACAAGTATCTTTACTAAAGACTTTTCTATGAATTTACAAAGTCAGACTGATTAGCCTGAGTGCATGGTGATTTTCAAGTTAAGAAAAAGAAAATACTTTTTTCATTTTACAGTTTTTATATTTCATTTGCATAACCTCTAGGGCCTCCTAAATGTATGCTTTTCATCTGTGAAACTATACCTTAATACTAGAAATAAACAACCTTAAAACACCAAAATTTTTTATTTTTCTTTAATTGGTCACTCGATGTTTTGGTTTACAGCTTCTTCAGGAGTGTTCCACTAAAACACCAACTGTAACTGACAGTACAAAGCTTCAAACAGTTTGAATAATAAATTGTAATAAAATCTGTAGATGGCATTTTCACAGTGTGTTTGCACTACAAAGCAGTAAAGCATTTTGTTGAAAAAATTAAAAGCTACCTGTAGTAAACAAAAGTTCTATCCAAGTTGGAGCTTGAAATAACAAAAGATAAGATGAAAAAATAATTATAATTATAGGCACCATCCTTTGTCCCTATTCATCTGTGGTCATAGTTGTTTGATGAGAAGAACTTCTTTATATTTTCTGTCAGTGTAGTTGGTGACTTTGGTAAGGATTTGTATGGAGAATGGTGGTTTTGTGTTAGGTGTTATTTGTCCATGATGAGCTAAAACGTTATGGTGGTTTTGTGTTAGGTGTTATTTGTCCATGATGAGTTAAAA